AAACTAGTGGGTCTAGATGATTGTGGTAGGCAAAATTCTAAGATGACTGCCAAGACTCCCACTTCCTGGTGCCTATGTCCTGTATAATCCCCTCCCCTTGTATGTGAAGGGAATTAGGAATACATGGGGCACCTGGGTGGCTCAGTGGTTGAATAAAATCTTTAAAAAAAAAAAGGAATTAGGAATACAATGGAGTGCTCATCCCAATTTTAGGTTATATTACATGGCCCAGTGGACTTGAAGAAAAGATGCTCTTTTGTAGGCCTGATCCAATCAGGCAAACCTTTAAAAGGAACTGGACTCTTCCTGAAGAAAGAGAGTTGAAAAGTTAGATTTTCCAGAAGGGAGATTCTCCCTTGGTGGATATAAAGATGGAAGGGACCATGGAAAGTGACCACTAGGAGTGAAAAGCCAACAAGGAAGCAAGGGCTTCAGTCCTCCAAATACAAGGAACTGAATTCTATTAACAACCCGAATGAGCTTGCAACTGGATTCTTCTGCAGAGCCTCAGATGAGAACTCAGCCGGACTGATACCTTGAGTATTAGACTCTGAGCAGAGAACCCAGTTGAGCCATGCCTACACTTCTGACCTACTGAATCCAGAGCTAATACATGTGGCTTGTTTTAAGCCTCTGAGTCTGTAGTCATTTGTTGTGTAGTGGTAGGAAACTAGTAAACTAATACAATGATATTTCAGTTAAATGTGAGTTAAGATTTCTTTGCAAGCATTTTTTTTCTTGACTCTTCTCTCCCTGCCTTTCTCCAAAGCACTGATCTGCTTCCCCACCATATAATTATTTCATTGAATATAACTAGAAAATGCCATTTTGTCAAATTAAAATTTTCTCTCCTATCACAAATCAGTTATCTCCTTCCTCCCCCACTCCCCCACCATCCTTAATTTGAGACGCAGAGAATTATGCAGCTTGGGTATATTACATACATTTTAAGGCTAGAGAATCAAACCAGATAACACAGATTTTGAGAATTAAAGCAAACAATCTGTGTATTTTGAAGTAACTCAGACATGTTTCACCCATTGCATCTAGTTATCTTGAAACACAGTAACCTTGACATAATGGCTGAAGAAAAGGGCAAAGCAACGTAAGTATAAATGCCTGAACATTTTAATATCTTTTATCAATTAACATTAGTAGTGTGCCATGTATTTGAATCCATGCTTATCCTGAGGAAAACCTGCATTCTATCTTCCGCTTCCTGAAATTGCATCTGGATCCCATTACAAGGGTAGGACACCATGGGAAGCATGCCTAAACTTTTTAAGCTACAAAACGAAAGCTGATCTTCATTAATTAGATGTCTAGATTATGCAGATTGACCACTGTATTATCATAAATAACATGGTCAAAAACACTATTATATGGCTTATTGATAACTCCACCCAGGTAATTTCACTAAGCCTTATTTACTAAGACATTCTATTAACCACAAAAGCAGGATTTGATGTCAGGTCAAAAATCAGATCAAACTGTGACTTTGTGGTCGATAGCGGAGAGAATGCTCTACAACAAAGGGAATCGAGAACACAGTGTGATGTCTTCCTAACATGCAATTCGGGAGAAATTTCATCCCCAGCATAGCTTCACCTACTACATTAGGCAGATAAGTGAGAATATTAACAAGTCAATGATTCATAATTAAGACCCACCATTTAAAACTCATATTCCCTGCCTCTGTGAAAACCCTGGAATTGGATTAAGAGAGAGAAACCACCTAATTTTAGATTCAAGCAAATGTGGACAACGGATTCTAGAACGAAGGCGAAGTTTGAGGATCACAACCCCTCACCTGAATAACGATCAGCTGTTTTAATAAAAAGGGAGAACACAAGGAAAAAAGAAAAAAACATACTCAAAAGGCCATGGTCTGGAAAGGCTTCAAGATTTAGGGGTTCAGGTGAATCATGACTTAGCTTTTACCAACTTTAACCAAAGTCTTCCCAGGTGCTGAAGTTAGCACTAAAGGAAAACTCTCACAAAACTATTACGTGAAGTAATTATAATCTTTGTCTGCTTCACCTTTTTGTACCTGTGTCTTTGCCATCCATATAATTATGTTGAGGGAAAACACTTCGAGCCAAAATGAAATAAACGACTTTGGTTTATGCCCACACGGACCTTGTCAAGTAGCCAATGACTTGCCCTTTCATTGTGAGTGACTAATATCAATGCTGGCTCTAAAGAAAGACACTTTTCATAATCGCCCAACAATCTGCTAAGTGAAAACATATGGATGGGCTTAGGCAAAGCCTGCCAGGGGTCTTTGCTGAATGGAAAACAGGTGCTCTCATTCTGTGCCACGTAATACCCCATTTACCCCCAAGTCCAAAGGTTAGAGGACTAATAGCTGCCTTGTGGTAATCAGGGAAAGCCAAGAAACCAGCCCTGGTGAAACATCTGGGACATATTTTACATACTTGCAACATATGCTTCAGGTTCAATTAAAGTGAGGCTTTGGCACATTTATTAATCTTTTTTACTTTTATCCTATAAGAGGACTCACTGACCTGACCCCACTATTATACCAGATGAGAAAACAGAGAAATAATGAGAGTTAGAGGTCAGTACCTGCTCATATGGCAAAAAACACATTTGTTTTCTCCTGAAATTCCATTACGCATGACTCTATACACAAACTTTAAACAGAGGAACCAATGAATTTTTTAAAGTAGGAAATTACCCTTCTCCCGCTCAGACACACTGATAGCCCAGACTTACAACCTTTACCACTCTGACAGCCAGTCAAGAGACGGAAGCCGGTAAATGGAAACTCGAAGGATCCCTTCCTATTTCCATTGCTTATAGTAAAAACTTCATATTTTAACGCATCCACTCTAGGATTCTCCCATTATGCAAGCCCCTAAAAGTATTTTGTAAATTATTAGACTTGAGATTTTCTTTTTGTTCAGATATGATTTTTAGGCTATCAATTGCATTATGCGTAAAGAAAAGCCTCCTTACATATCACCTGAATAAAGGGTTGGATTTATGAAAATCAGCTCACAATCTTTTCATATGGAAAATACACTGTTTGTCAGCATCCTGCGCACAAGAATACAGTTGAATTCACACAGTAATTTAAGCACTCACTTTCAATCAACTTTGGTAACTAGATCTCAAAATGTGTTAGAACCAGAGTGTCAGTTTCAGCCACCTAAACCCTAGATTACGATAGATGCCACTCCAGCGGCTTGGTGCTGTTTCCACCTGGCGTGTTCCACTTGACATCTAGCTTTTGGTGAGCTGGCTAACCAGGTGTGTTATTTGTTTCCCACTCCTAACATCCTCTCTATTAAAAAAAAATGACCATCGAGGGGAGAAGAGTGGCTTGGAGTATCAACAAACTGGCTAAAAAAAAAAATATAGGTTGACTTCAAGCAGGGACACTGAAGTACTAGACTTCACTAAGGGTTTCCATTTATTAACGTTTCGGAGGGAACGCCTGCTGCTGGAATGAATCTTTATGGTGGCTTTAATAATAAAGCAGCAACAAGCAAGGGAAAATGGCCATAAATGGATGGCAGCACCGTGTTTATCAGCAGAGAAATGATGATTCAGAGCTGGCATGTTGAGTTAAAATACAAGCTCTCTACAGCTCTACAACTGACCTTAACAATAAATCATATCATTTATTGCCAGAAGTGTATGTTCATGTTATTTAACATTAAAAACAAGCACATACGTGTTTGTGTAGAAAGGAGATTTTGTTAGTGTCTCTTTGGTGATGTCGCTAATGACTGAATGATGTGCAGAAGAAAAATTTCACCTAAGAGCTCTCCCAATTTCAAAATGTTTGGAATAGCATGAGAAGGGATAAAGAGTGTGTGTGTGTGTCTATGTTTTCATTTTCCTTCTAGCACTGGATATTAGTCAAGAGAAAATCATTTGGGAGTTTGACTAATCACTGTGTACGGATTTTTTTTTTTTTTTTACATTCCTAATGCTTGCTTCCAGCATGCAAATTCTTATACCAGGATATAACTGTACATCTTTACTAGAATCAAAGGTCAAGGGCATAAATTAAGATACGGTGTTGTTCTCTTTTATTCAAAAAAAAATTCACTGCTTTACTATAATAGCAATCATTCCAGTGAAGGTCAAAATCTGGTTTTAGGTGCCAAACAATTTGGAAATAATGAATGACATTCTCTCTTCCCTCTCAATCTCACTCTAGGACTTTTTAGATTTTTGATCTAGAGATGCCCAAGGATTTTGATAAACCAGCATTGCTATCCTCCTTGCCATCAAAAGCCTTTCTTTTGACCCCAGACACGGCTACAGTGGTGCAAGGTCATTTCTGATTCATCTCTCCAGTTGTCCCTTCTCCCCAGGGGACAACCAATCCAAGCAATCCCAGAAACAATTTTTTTTTTTTTTACTGTGATCACCATTCTCATGCCAACCAGCAATCAGAAAATAACCTCTCAACAGGCTTTCCAGACCAAGGAGCCACAGAGCCATTCCAAGTCAAGCGTAGGCAAGGGCCATGAGCACTGGGATTATTTAAATACCCTCCGGAGCCCTCCATGCACATGTGTTCTTTTGCTGAGCAATTCCTCGAAAATTACAGATGACAATATCCATGTTTGACTTAAGCAGGCTGCTATTTTTTTCCCTTCTTTCTTCCTCCGAAGTGTAGCCCGATTTGTAATACTCAAGATAGGACAAATTTTTGCCCTTCAAAAACAGTTGTCACTGCCGTTATCTTCACGAGAGCTATCAAGTTCCAGACAAGCTGAATTATTTTTTTTTTTGTTCCTGGCAGAAAAATATTTGACCCAGCTCTGGACAAAAGCGAAGAGGATTTATAGCCCTCTCTCCTTCTTTGCAACATGCAGTGGCATTGTTAGGATGATAAACAGCACTGTCCAATTTTCTGGACTCGAACACTTCAACTCCTTTTTTAACTGTCTGTGAAAACAGTGTCATGTCTACATTTCCCCATCCCCTGGTACCCAAGTGCTGGGAAAGATAATTACCTTGTCATCTTTGTCATCTTCTTCTTCCTCGTCCTCCAGCATGTCCTCCACTACCTGCAGACAGAAACAGAAGTCATTTTCATGCTCTTAAAGGAGAGAATTTTGTTCTGTCATTTTGAACCTTTTGGAAACGAAAACTTTATGAACATTTGAAACAGATGCACAGAGAGGGAACATTTGATCTAGAAACAGGGATTAGGAAAATGCTATGCCTTTAATTGATTGGAACCAGGGAACTGAATCCCAGTCAGGGGAACCCTATTTGTGGGAAATGTTCTGTGACAACTTAAAAAATCTGAAATCTGCGTAAGGCGAGCTAACATTAATTTGAGAGGTGCTTCCAAAAGGAGATTTCCTTTTACCTGCTCCACTGTCTGTATTAATCAGACACTCTAAGTCTGGAACCAGATAACCAAGCAGAAAGCAGCTCTGCTATTTCTAATTTACTTTTCACCAAACTCTAAGGTAAAGGATCCTATCTGTTCATTGATTTATGCTGGTGATCTATGGCATAAAGCTGACAGCTTTCATGACTCAAATTTTACTTATTTTTAATTTTATTGAACAAATTTGATTTGTAACATTGCGTAGGTTTAAAGCATGCCACGTGCTAATTGGATCCATTTATATATTGTAATGTGGCAATATTTACCATCTTGCGTAATTAGAGCACATTTTTAATGTCTTTGTTCATTGTACTGTGTGTTAGATCTCTATGGCTTATTTGCTACTTGTCATGTGTTTGTACCCCTAAACACTGTCATTGCTTTCCCTGCCCCCATCCCCTGGTAACCATCATTTTGCTAGTTTCTTTTCATAGGTTTAGCTTTTTTAGATTCCACACATAAGTGTTATCATATTACCCTTTCTTTGACTTATCTTGCTTTAATGTTCCCAAGGTGCACCCATGTTGTCACAAAAGGGATGCTATCCTTCCTTTCTTGTAACTAACATCCCCCTGTGTATATGTACCCCGTCCTTTTTACCCATTCCTCCACCAATGCGCATTTGGGTTTTCTGTATATTGGCTTTTGTGAATAATGCTGTGGCAAACATGGCAGTGCACATAACCTTTTGATATCCTGTTTTCATTTCCTTTGGGTATATGCCCAGAAGTATAATTGTTGGATGATATGGTAGGCCTGTTTTTATTTTCTTTTTTTTGAGGAAACTCCATGTTGTTTACACAGCATTTGGACCAATTTACAGCCCCACTAACAATCTATATGGGTTCTCTCCTCACCACAAACTCAACAGCATCTATTGTCTCTTCCTGATGATAGCCATTCTAACAGATGTTAGCTAACTCAGTGGTACATTGACAGAGGTCATATTGCGGTTTTGACTTGCATTTCCTTGATATTAGTGATGTTAAGCATCATTTCATCTATCTGGTGGCCATTTCAATGTCCTCTTTAGAAAACTGTCTGTTTAGTTCTTCTGCCTATTTTCGAATTGGATTGCTTTTTTTGTTATGGAGTTGACCGAATTCTTTAGATATTTTGGATATTAACCCCATATCTGATATATGGCTTGCAGAAATTTTTTCCCATTCTGTAGGTTATCTTTTTATTTTGTTGATTATTTTGTTGGGCAGAAGCTTTTGAGTTTGACGTAGTCCCATTTGTTAATTTTTTCTTTTGTCATTTGTCGTTTGCAGTTTTGGTGTCACCAAGGCTCAAAGTTTAATTCTTGTGTATAAATGTCAACTTTTGACTATCTCTGTATTACTTTTTGATTTTGTGGATTACCAGAAACTCTAATTCTCTGATTTTATATAAGGGTTACATTAGGAGAATGGACATTGAAATAAAATTAGAAATGTATCCAATAGTCAAATGTATATAATACATATATATAACCCATGTAGGTGGGTATGAATGTACTTTTTAATGACTCCTAGTTTACTTAGCACAATGGGCTGGTCATTTTGGATTTGCTCAATATTTACCCTTTTCTTGATTAATGTGTAACTGTGGCATTACAAATGGGACTTCACTGTTTCAGGTATTTTATTATGGTTTTATATGCCTACAGTTTCTCTCTCTCTCTCTCTCTCTCTCTCTCTCTCTCTCTCTCTCTCTCTCTCCAGGGAAACCAAAAACTTAAAAAAACTTTGGGGAGGGTTGCTATTCAGTTAAGTGCCAACCTCTAATTACATTCATGCCATTTCATATAATTTCTAATTCTTATGGTGTTTTTTTATCCAGTCTGTATCTCTATTTCTGAATAAACTTGATAGAATCACGGTTATTAAATATTTTTAAATCTTTCTTTCAAAGCTCATAACTTTAAAAGATAGAGACAGCTCGTGCTTCTTTCATGTGGCTTATGATACAGGCAGGAATATGTTATGAGTGAAAACTTCAATAGCTAAGACTGTATTATGCAAAGAGCTACACAAACTGAGATAACATGTCGGGACTCTCAGTGATCTAATAATTGTTCTCAAGTATTCTAAAAGCATTAGCTGATTTAAAAGAATAGCCCAAATGCAAACCTCCATTTCTCACAAACCAGTATATTACCAAAGCATCTGACAACCTGTGAGGTTGTTCCTAATTTAATGTCATACTTCAAATCTTCTATTATATGGAGGAATTTTGTGGTCTTTCCTTTGGACTTTCAGCATTTCAGAAGAAACATAGCAGCACAGTGTGCTGGTTCCAATACCTAGTGAGAGTTTACACTTGTTTTGGAGACATATAAAGCAATTCAGCCTCAACTAGAAAGGAGAACTCTTAACATTCACTCTAACTGTATTCAGCAACTCCATAGGCATTTATTGCAAAGCCCCTTGGCCAAGAAACACACTGCTAGGTACTATGAGGATGCAAAGATGACTAACTCAGATTTTTCATCTATACTCATGTCAGCCCTCAAGATGTTTATAATTCAGTAGAATTTAAACGGAGACTATAAGCTAATCTTTCACATTGGCTTTTACTTTCCTGAGATTTTAAGTATTCAGAAGTATGTAGACAATAATAGTAACAATGTACAATCAAGGTGCTATATGCCAGGCAATTCCAAATTGGTCTATTTTTGATGAGGGTTTAAGGGGGAGAAATAGCCACGCTATTTCAGCACATTGTATTTCTTCAAAAGAACTTACCTAACACAGCAAACAGCTGAAACAGAACTCAAACCCAGACAGTGGGACAACACAGAGCCAGTTCCACACTTTGCCCAGTTCTTGAGGGGGCGGAGAGAGAAGGAATTCACCTACCAACTCTCCTAAGTTTTGTTTAAATGACTATAATTTTGTATCTCTAATAAAATGATTGATTTAGATTAAGTAATTTTTCACATTGGTCATTATGATCCATTTTATTTTTCAGTAAAAGTTGTATGTATTTGAGGTATAAAACAGGATGATTTAGTTAAGCAATATTTTACTAAAATTACCCACACACAGTCATTTATCAAATATGTCAAGGAAAAAGAAATGAACACTACAGCATACTTTTACTCCTGTGCATAAACTCTATGTTTTTGCTAGTTATTATTAAAAATGTAATACATGCCCCTCCTCTTCAGTACTTATGATCATACTGCAAGTGCTAGGAAGTAAGAATGGTGGTGGAATTTGCAGATTGCAAGGTGCATAATAGATTTCAAGAAATATTTGTTGATAGAATGAACAGATGAAAGAGTCACCCATTCTTCATAGCTTTCAACACACTTTTACGTAAAAGAACTGGGCTAGCTTATCTGGAAAGATGTATACCTAATCAGTAATGCTGATTAATGAAAGCAACTATTCAAAATGTCTTCAAATATTTGCATGGAAACAAGAACCATAAATATTTAACCTTTAAGATCTGTAGATTCCACTACCTTCAAGTTAATCTTCAAAAATTCAAAATATCATCATAACATAAAACAAGCCAATAGCTTAATTTACACATTTTCCAAGTCGGCTGCGAATCTTATGTTCAAGAACGACTCAAAGAGGTCTACGGAATCAGGCTCTTCATTTGCAAAACCCAAACTGTTCTTACCCTGCACAAGTGGGTAATTGGCTACGCACAATTGCTCTACAAATGTGCAGCCAGAACCACTCAATACAACCATTTGCTTTTACATTTGGCAGAAAAGTGTTGTGTTAGAGAGAGGCCTTTGTGTTGTGTTTTAGCGCTCTAGCGAGGGCTTTTCCCCTCCTCCAGTGCCTTTTTAATGTTATATCATAAACATCTACAAGTGAGGATTTATAATACAGATGCTTTCCTACGGATGCCTTTACGCTGCTTCAGAATGTATCCCACTATTGCTTTTTGCTCAGGTGAAGTCTAAGGTGCCTTGGAAACTGGAGATAATGGCACCTATCCCACAGTGTTGATTAAGGATCCAATGAAATAATGCACGTAAAGTACTTAGCACAGTTCCTGTATCAAAAGAAGTGTTCAAAAAGGTTAGCTATTAGCGAAAAGAAAAATAACATGAGCTTAGTGATATTTTAAACATTAATTTTTAAAAATTCGATTATGTCTTTTTTTTGTTCTGGGCAAAATATTCGGTATTCTTTATGACATACAAAATTCCGATTCATGTTTTGCAGACACTAAGAAACACATAAAGGGACACAGGTAGAGGCGTTGATAAAGACTCCCACTTTTGGGCAGCCCGGATGGCTCAGCGGTTTAGCGCCGCTTGCAGCCCAGGGTGTAATAATCCTGGAGACCCAGGATCGAGTCCCACGTTGGGCTCCCTGCATGGAGCCTGCTTCTCCCTCTGCCTGTGTCTTTGCCTCTCTCTCTGTGTCTCATGAATGAATAAATAAACTCTTAAAAAAAAAAGACTCCCACTTAAAATGATAATGTGTTTACTAATTTTCAGGCTTTAACAGACCAATGAAATGGACGGTTATGAATGCAAGAACGTCTCAGAAGTGGGGCTGTGCTTGAAGACATGAGCCCTGGTCAAATGCAATGAATATAGAAACTGCAAACTGGGGTTTTTACAAACGAACTGCATGTATCACTGAAGTGCATTTAATGACTGCACAGAACTGCAACATTTTGCCCGAGAACTCAAGTAACACCTACCATTCA